GTCAGTTAATCTGTTAGTTTAATGACACAGTCTCAGACAGCACTGCAGGTTAACCAGCTGCCAGCTGCTGCTGCATAACGTCATAGCTACAACTTGTGGGCGGCAGCTACCTACGGACACACTGTGGCTACCTACAGACACATTTTTGTTTCTCCATTTCGTACCCTCGACAAAAGCGACTGTGTGACCGTGAATATCTCGGCTCAAAAAAGCAGCTCGTCTTTCGCCGAAGCGCGGACTGGTGCGTATCTCTGGCGCAGTTTGCTAGCGTGCTAATGCTGTCCATCCCTGGCCTCACTGGGATGCAGCACATTGTTCAAACATTTATGTCGTTTTCTTACCCAGAATATGAGATTGAGAAAAACCAAAACGGTTTTGGATGAAGTAATCCCGCACTGCCCCATGGTATCGTTAGCTCTAAAATTAAAAACTGTAACTATAAAAAAAAAATACTGATGCACCTGCACCTTTGCTGCTATAATAATAAAATGGCTCCGGTGGTCCTGCCCCGTTGTGCAGATTCTTCTGGGCTCGACCAATGAAATGGCCGCAAAGAAATAAAAGAAAATGATCACGTGCTTTAATGACATCATCATTCAAAACAAACAGTGTGATGGAGGACGTTTGAGCACGGAGCCCTGCAACAATGTAACATACATTACAGTATACATACAGTGCAGCGAGTGCATGCAATGCTATTTTTTTTAAATAACTTTATTATTTATAACAGTGAGTCAATGTTAAATCATCATTTAATTGTCTTGTACACCACAGAACGAATGTGAATGAATACACTGGGATACAATGTGTCATAAGCAATGAGATGAATGTGGTCAAAAGCAGCAAATAATGTGCTTAAGTACATTTGGTGCTGTTGGTGATGATCTCTTGAATGCTGGTTGAAAGATTTGTTTCAGGGTTTTATAATTTTTTCTGCAGTTGTGATGCCCCTCTTTTGAACACATAATGTAAGCCTGTTATAAAAAAAAAACGTACCAGCAGCATCAGTATTGAGATGTGTTCCTGTTTAGTGTGTGTGTGTGTGTGGGGGGGGTTATGCCAGAGGGTGGCAGTGTAGCATTGCTAGTTTTACACTGCCACTGGCATACAATGTGCAAGAGGAAGATGTATCAAGTGAAAGCAGTTAACAACCTGCAACCATATGCTGACTATACATATTTTTCAAATCTTAGGTCTCAGACTTGAATTAAGTAATAATATATGCACTTCACCCACATAGTCCCTTGGCAAAAATATATGAATGTAAGCGACACATGTGATATGCCCCTATTTTATTTAAACCTATGAGACTTGTTTGTCTCCTATGGTGGCAGGATTGATTACTCAGTTGAAAATGAGTGCCTTAAAGCCTTTATTTTATTGAGTTAAAACTTGCCACATTTGTCTCTGTCAGCTTTTAGTGTTCAAACTGAGCAAGATTGAGCACTTACAAATTCAAGAAGAATCCAGGGCTACTACTGTTGACACAACATACATCCACATTGTGAATTATGCATCAAGACTTCCTGTTGGCTAGAAACTGAGTCATTATTAAAACAGAACAATACAAAATGAAGAAACAAGCAGATAGGCACGGAGATAAATATTGGATACCAAAAGTCCCAAGGGCATAAACATACAATACAGCTATGACTTTGGTTTATACTTCCAACTCGTTACCTTCCACCAAATACGTCAGTGGCTGTGTTAAAGTTTGTACATAGCCTATGAAAATCACAGCTTTCTAGACCATATGAAAAGTGGCTGTTTGGTTCATGTCATGGTACATAGTCCAGAGTATGGTTTCACTTGTTGTTTTTAGTAAATGAAAAAGCTAAAGTGTTTGGTTGCGTTTACACATTTTGCTCCTCTTTTACATGCCAGATGAAAAACATGACATTTATTTTTGTTTGAATTCAAATTTCTTTCATTCAGTTCAATGTGGGGACAAAACTGAAAATCTATCATAAATTGTCATTGCCAAGACGAGAGATTCCTATTTGTATGGTAAACTGAGTGATTTACTGTCCCACTGTTGTGTCTGTTCAAATTAAAATGCCCTCACATGACACGTGAAACCCATTTACAACCAAAGCTTTAATTAGTGAACGCCAAAGCTGTCCAAGGAACACCCTCATGGAAACAAATGAAATCCCGTAAATCTTGTTTTAGCAAATTACTGATACTTTAAATCAAATTTGTCACACAGCAGGAGGCAATGATTTGGATGACATTGAATCTACTAAAAGATTCGAAGAGCTAAAATCTAAAAAAGCCAGATGGCCAATATCAGTGTCACTGATGTAAGGAAATAAAAACATAAATATTAAAATCTAATTCAACCTATTCAAAGTGAAGAAATCTATACACTTGCTAACATCTGTGGTGTCTGATGATTGGTTTTATTTAGCTCCATCATTTGGTTTAACTGATTCCCCCATGCTGAATATAACCAATAGGCTATAGTTTTCATGGTCTATGGTCATGGTTGTATTGCTGTATGTTGATTGGAATTACTTGATTTGCCCCACTTGCTACTATATGCTATATACTACACACACATGAATGTTTAATTTGAATTATTTGTAATCACATCACAGCAAAAGGTTTAGTGTTCCCTTAAATTACCATTCATAAATACCTAATTCTAGCCATTACCAATATTTGCTAATTATTGGATATAATTCAGTGTATTGGTAATATACTAAAAGTTGGTTGCATCTTTTTGATATTATTTTTCACATTTCACACCTCAAAGCCTCAAAGATTAAACTCTTTATCTAACTCAGCTGTCTGAGATTTATTTTGGAGAATATATTATAGTGACTTTTACCACCAACAAAACTGAAAAAAAAAAGAAATTAATAAAATCCTATCAGTGCAGGAATAAGATTTTCTTTTCCAGGAATTAACATTTACAATGGTCTTCTCTTTGGCAAGGATCAGCTCTCCTGTGAATTTAAAGACACAGAGCTGTTAATTTGTGTAGGTTGAAAGAACAAAGAATTATTAGATAAATCTGAGCATAAAGGATGGATTTCCTGTATGTGAGCAAAAATTCTAAGTAAACAGAGGGCGCAGAGATGCTGAATTGAATCTCTCATTCCCTCAGCAGTGAGGAAGAATATGTCATGGGAGATCTGCACGCTCAAATTGTGTGGAGACATCGCCTTCCTCAGCAGTTAACACTCTGCAACATGTTTGGATCTGCAATTTTAAACCATGGGAGGACAGTTATTCTCTCATACACACACACACACACACACACACATTGATAATTATTGTAGCAACACAATGAGTGTATTTTTTAACATGCAGTGGCTTGACATTTCAAATTAATTAAAGATACAGCGTTTGAAGATTAAATTTCTCTCAACATTCAAATACTGTGTCTGCTATTAGTAAAAAATAATAAACTATGGATGGCCCATTACTATACAATATATTGTCCTGAACTTTAGCTCTTAAAAAATTAATTGCAAAGACTAAAGAACATAATATTTTTAACCAAAAAGAGAATTTTAACAAAAAGGAACACACTTTTATAAGCTATTCACCCCGTCATCAAAGTTTTGAATGCGAGTTTGAATGCTTTTCTTCAGGCACTTAAATTTCCTGTAACCTATTGAGCAGGCTTATTTTTTTCCAATTTTGTATCCAATTTTCCAGCCTACTAACCTACTTGTGTACAATGTTCTGCACCTTTCTGGATCTCAATGTTGTTTGGCAAAAATAATGATAGCTTAAAACGTGTGTTTATGGAGAAAAAAACAAAACATCTTTGTCCTCCTCTTTAAATTTATTGAGAGCATATAGTTAATAAGTACACCTTGCAGTCCATTACAACAGTATGAAGTTGTCACCTATTTGGGGTAACTGTGATGACCTCAATAAGGGTATTAAGAAATATTAGAAACACCTCTCAGTATAGCAATACAATTCAACAGCACCACAAAGGACCATAAAGTTGAATCAACACAAACTGAACATTATAACCTCCATGAAGGGAGGTTTTATTGCAGGGCTGTTGTTTTAGACTACATTAGTTTTGGCTTGGTGTATCTCATAAACTGACAACTGTGTGTGTTCTTTATTCAAAGTGCAATCTGTTTTATGAGTCACTTATTGGACCAAAATTGTGGAGTTAACCAGATAGACTGACACAACTCTCATCTGTTTCACCTGAACAGTGGATTCTATATTTCCTCCCACCACTCACTACTTTGGACAGGGAGCATATTCCTTACCATGAAAATGACATAAAACAACAGGCCGGGCATTGTGGGAGAGATATTGACATAGCCTAACCATTACCTACAAAAGATTAGCCCAAGGCAAAGAATGGGCCATCTCACTTCACCGCTATTGATTGAGAGAACAGATCATCCCTTTATGCAAAGGACAGGAAAAGCACAAAAGATAATATCGAGTTCATGTAAAAATATTCAGGAAACTGGAAAATGTGATTTATATAAGCTGCCTACTTTTGTATTTATATAAGTGTTATTTTAGAAAATGCCTTTAGCACAAAAGCGGGAAAAAATCTTACTCATGCTGAACAATCAGCTGTTAGTGTTGGGCCTATAAATAAGGTCTGTGAAGGTTACATGTAGCAAACCCCTGTAGAGGAAAGTAGAAGGGGGCAAACTCAGTAGTAACGTTTTCATACTGTAGCCTAAAGCCTGGACCAACATATAGTTTTAATTAGAAAAACTGTTCTGTCCCCTGTTTATTTCATGATATATAGATTTATATAAACATATATTTTATTTTAAATACAAGCGAAAAATTAGTCACATTTCTCACTAAAGGGCCTCAAGACATTGCCATGTTCAATTGTCTTCCCTGTGTTGTCCAATCAGTGGTGTATTAGCCATAATGAAGTGATCAGCATTTCCTTACAGCAGTTATGTGTGCTGATGTTAACTGGGACATGATCTCAGAAAATCCAACCATGATCTATCAAAATGACAAAAATTGATCTGCCAAAGTCACAGCAGTGCAAATAATTATTTTATTTAATATAAATAACTTTGAACAACAAGACAATGTGAAATATCATCATCAAAACAAAAGAAAACCATACGTGTATTGCAAATGGCACATGAGCTGTATGCTAAGTATAACAGTTACAGTAAATTACAATCATGATGAGCAGGAGACTGTAGACTGTGTCTAATTTGTTTATTATAACCCATGAGGCCAGATGACCCGGAATCCGTGTTCATGCGTGCCAGACTTCCATCCTCTCTGTATCACTTTCTGCTTTGGATGTAGCTTTCTAAAATCTTCATCAACAAGTCCCCCTCCTGAAACACAGTACACATCCAAGTCAGTCACAAAATCTATAATTTCAGTCTTTTTAGGTCGTAAAAAAACGTTTGACGATTGAACATCAGAGGTACTCACCTGATTTTTCGAGCGGCTCTCTTGTGTATCCACCTGCGCCTGCAACGCCACTCGCAGGAACTCTTGGAAAAGCTCCCCGAGAGCGCTCTGCTCCGCAGGCAGGGTGACTTCCAGCGCATCAACACCCTGCCCCTCAGCTGAAGGCAGCAGAGGGGTATCCATCACGCTCTTCTTGCCCATGAAGTGTCCTGTCAAATCAAAGAAAACGCTTTAAACTAAGACCTGGAGGAGGGAAATACCTTTCAGGAACATGACAAATTCAACATCGTTAGAGGCAGAAAATTTAATCATGTGAAAAGAAATTTAAAACATGTTCAAACATATACGAAATTAGACTCATTAGACCATCCAATGCGAACATTGCTGATTGGTCCAAAGCTATTAGATCAGAACATGATGCTTACCTGTAGCCCAAAGATTGCCTCTTGGATTCACTTTAATTTTTGCAACTTTATTCCTAAGCTCTGTCAGGTCGAAACTGACCGCAGCGGTAAAAGACATGAAAGAAAAGAAGACAAGATAAGTAAATAAGCCACACTGGCAAACATTATTCAGCGTAAACCCTCTCATCTCAACGCAGTGGCGAACCGTCCTCCAGGGCGCAAATTTCCAACCGTCTCCTGTTGGATTGCTCAGACGCATCCTGCTTTTATAGGCACTCCTGGTTGGGGTGGGCTCTGTGTATGTTGCGTGTACTTTTTACTCAGCCAGCTGCATAAATAGAAAATGTACTCAGTCTTTGTCATGGTTTCGTTGGACCGCGCCTCTGGCTGTGCGTCTTTTACGCAGCGCACGATTCATCTTTAACTCAGGACAGAGGCAAATGTTTGCTACAGAACAGTCTCCTCAGCCTCCCAACTAGATGAGCATCAACAAGCGCGCTAATGTTCAGTAGGGGCTGATTAATTATAGTTTTATTTTATTTTCTCCTGTTAGAAGCTGGCATTTTGTTTTAGAAGTTTTTTGAGAGGACTATGTGGTAGAGGTAACCTGCAAAAAACAGCCATATATTTATACTTCTTTGAGGGGAATTTCCTCAAATACATTCATCATGCTCTTATAGTTCATATTAAACCAATAAAATATCATATAGCACAACATTGCAACCATTAACTCAAGCTCCATAAACTGGTAAATACTTAGATAATTTATTGGTGGTCGTGCACTGTTGGTGTAAATTGTGTGACCAGATCCAAAAAATAGCAGAGGTGATAGCTAATGCTTATAGAGCAACACATATAGTAATTTTCTGCCCAGGTCCCTCTACCCCCGCCTGCTCTCAGGGCCATGTCTGGCCCCTTTACAATGAGCAACATGACATTTGGCCAGTTGCAGCATGCTGCTGTGATCACCATCAGTCCTCTGAGGACAGGAGAACCTGCTGGTTCTCTCTGCTAATTTAGACCTGATAAGACAGACTGCCTCTTTGTCACTTCAGGGTGCTAAAGTTACAAGTTTAGTGGAAGGGCTACAGCTTGTATCTTGCTCTTTTCATAACCTTTGGCATTCACACACACATACTTGTGATTACAAACTCTCTGCATAGCTAAATGTCAGTCCAATTAGAAGACTGTCTGACCATCACTCTCACTAAATTCACATATTAGATGAACAGGGACAACTATGGTTTTATGGAACAGAATTTCTCTATATATATTTGCATCTTAAGATCAAAACAACTGATTCACAGACCAAGGGCCACAATTATACCACAATACCTGATGCTGCTTTGTTCCCTCAGGGCCTCGCCATGTTGAGGCTTATGCTCTTTCCAAATCTGACGCCGTACCAGTAACAAAACTATGAAAAGTTGAACTGAAAAACAGTTACGTTTTAAATGAGACTGCTTTAATTCAGATCAGCTTAATTTCCTAATCCTCGTGTGATTTCTCATGCCCAATCATGAGCACTGAAGGATATTGTTTTTGTGACAAACTGCATGAAATAGCAGAGGTAAAACGCCCCACCTAACAAGCAACACAGTCAAGGTCTTTGAGGTGTAATGAAGATGGCAACCAAATGCATTCAATTTAGGTTAAAGGTCAAGTACTTCAATAGAGTTTCAAGTGGCTCCATATCAAGATTATATGTTGATCCATACTACTGTATGATTACATATAGCCCCAGCCGAATACACCTTGATTGCAAGAACACTTAAGCTTGCTCACATTGAACAAATAAGAGCTAGGTTAATGCCCAAGCACTAATGAAAATCTCAGCCCACTTGAAAACAGGGCAGATCGTGTGCCCCACTCCAGTGACCTTTATATAAGAAATTTATCAAACTACACCATTTTATATGAGAAAAATATTATTTCAGACACAGCTCAGGTACTGGTTTCATAGAATATCTGGATGATTTATTATTATAAAATGTATCTTCTTCATCACAAATACTTTATAATAACTTTACTACTTAAAAGTTGTACTTGTAAAAGAATACATTGCTAAACATACAGGATTAGTAACAATTCATTAAATATCAATTTAATGCAAGATTCTCTTTAACAGCAATAGACAAAAAATATTTTCTTGCAAAAAGATTTCCAGAAGATACTGTTCATCACTCAATATAACAGAAATACATATTTTTATGTGAATTCATTTGAGTAATTAAAAAATAAAAAAAACATATATAGACAGTGAGTTTGTTTGTGACATGTTGTTTAAATGTGTTTAATTCCACCACTTCAGGGCAGACATCCTCAGCAGTGGCTGTTAATGTAGACCAGGGCTCAAGAGAAAATGAGACAAAGAAGAAATAATCCATAGTGGATGGTAACCAGATTTCATATTTAATATCATTCATTTTCAGTTGTCATAAAATACTTCGCATATCTTTTTCAAAGACAATGATTCAACAGGAAAGAAACAAGACTTAATTTATCTCGATGAATGCTGTTTCACATTCTGAGGATTACAAATAAAGATAGATTTCAAACTAAATCTAGCCTAGTTCCCTCACAAAAATATTTTAAAGCTTGGATTTTTCAAATGTAAACACCCTATCCACATTTCTACAAAATGTTCAAACAAATGGTACAAAAGAGCCAGTTGGGTTTGACAAAGTCTAACTTAATTCTGTTTTGAAAGGCATGACTGAGGTTTCCTGGACGTAGTATATCCTTCGAGACTCCTGAAGCTTGGGTACCTCACTCCCGATGGACCAACACAAAGAGACCCAGCATGAAGAGAACAGCATACTGCAGAAGGAAAAACAGATTTAACAACATGCTGAACATTTCTATGCTTAAAAACGAAAGGAAATCTTGGAAATGTGCGATGGGGTTGACCAGCTTACTTTGAACTTGGGGTAATCATTCATCAGAATGGTGACAATTCCAATGTATGGCACAAACCTGGAGAGGATAGAAATGCTTACGGTCAAGAAATGTCAAGACACGTAATATATGTCAGTTTGTAACTGAACATTTCCTACAGTACACAAAGAGTCTACAACTTCAACATCATTGAATTAAAAACTTCATGACTTTTGCTGCCATAATGGATATAAACAGAAAAAAAAATTATAAATTATTGTAAAACAAGTCAAAAATTAATTCTGAAAAAAACAGAAGGCACACTTCTTATGAATTATAATTGGAAGACAGCTTTCTGGGATGACATCTGCTCAAACATGAATTCACAACCCTACTTATGTGTAGGAGCAAGGGATCTGTTTGAGTTGCATGCCTATCACTAAGGCTCTGTTTGACCAATATGGGTTGTTTTTAATGGCCCCTGCCGATATTTAGGCAGGCCAATATATAATGTCGATATCAAAACAAAGAACAGTCATGTATTACTCATTATTTCGTGCACATGAAAATCTGATATACTTGGTTATCTTTTTATTAATTGAATTAAAAAATACATTGGGTTATGCTGTAGATTTCAGAAATTGAACAAAGAAGAAGTTTCCTTTGTTCTTTTGTACTAGCTCTACAGCCCAAATGAAAATCAGACACTTGTTTCGTGTGTACACCATCCATGAGATCCATGGATCTCAATGGGTCCTAAATGCATTCACACCTGTACTTTGAGATGGTCACTTGTGATTGGATGACCCAAAATACAGGTGTATACAGGGCCTAAGTCACTGATGGTAATGTGTGTGTGTGTGTGTGTGTGTGTTAGTGGAGGTGCTAGCAGTTTTGTTTGTGACAGAGAGGGGCTGAGAAGGGAGCCTTATTTTAGTATTTGAGTATACAAGGTAAAGGTGTTCCTTTTGTCTCTACAATAAACAATCAGAAAACAGTTATGGAGTTGTAATCTTTGTTTGGACATGGCGTGCATATGGTACGTCAGACAGGCCTTCCTACACTATCCCTTCTCATACATCTTGACAAGCACCAATGAAGAGGATGAACCTAGAAGAAGTCCTACCTTGTTAAATATAAATGAACGAGCAGAGATAACAGAATATCCCTAATCCCCAAATCTTAAACAGCCAAGAAATAAAATTACTGCATTTTGCATATGACCTTGTCAGTTTGTCTCCAACCAAAGACAAACAGGGCATTTCATCCACGATTATTAGACTGTACAACCGTTGTCTTTATTGTGTCCACGTGTCTCTGCAGAAAAAACCTTGGCAACACATTGTTTTATCTTGTTCTATCTAATAAAGACTATTGAACACAATATGTATGTATATTCTCTGCTTCAAACTTGAATTGATTGCAATTATCCTCCAGTTTAGAGCTGGAAACATATATTACTGATACTTGTTATCTGTCCTATTATGTTATCAAGCTACCTGTACTAATATGATTTTTTCCAAACAAAGTACTTACCCCCTAGCTCGTCCAACCACATCCTTTTTCTCCAGCCAATGTTGGCCCTGCTTGTACAGTCCTCTGTCATCCACTGCATTGTTGTCCCCTTTGGTCAAGAACTTAATGTCTCCATTTTCCCTGTGGACAAAGTATCAGTGTGAATTTAGACCACAATGTACACGAGTCCTCTTTTTGAGTACATCTGTGTCTGGATGAGGATACGTGATTAAGTGTAAAATATTACAGAGCCTTCTCTGAGCATTTTATATAACTTTTCAATACAATTTAATACTATCAATCGCATTCTCAAGTTTGATACATAGGCATCGGACTCAGTGACATTGAAAGTACAACTTGGAAATGGGCAACAACACTACTAAGATGTGTATTCCTACTTTTCATGTATCTTTAGTACTCTGTGTACTATTGGGATCTCTCTGCCTTCTATCCTGAAGACAACAATCTCTCCGACTCTGATGGGATCCTCTACCCGGTTGGTCAGAAACAGCAGGTCTCCTCTGTGGAAAGCTGGCTCCATACTGCCACTGAAATCAATGATACACAAAACTAATTAGTACCATGTAGATAATTTAAATAGAACATTTCCACTATTGATTAATAATATGCATTGCTATTCTCAACCTTTGTTTAACAGACATTATGAACAACTTATTGCAGCAATGTCTTTTAAAAGTTTACAGTGACAGTTTGCAGAAAACAAACTCAGCCCAAAATCAAATTGTTATATTTGTGAAGCCACACAAATACATAAACAACAACTTTCAACATGACCACTCAAAATTACATGACTCAGATTAGGACCGAAAGACCAACTGG